ATCTGTGCCCCATGCTACAGAGGAAGGTGAAAAACCTCCAGGGTCTCTGCCAATCTACCCTGGAGGAAAATTCCTTCCTGACCCCAAATATGGTGATCAGCCTATACCTTTTGCTGACAAAACTATACCTGCATCTACACTACCGCTGAGTTCTGTCAACATAACATCGACAGAACTCAGCAGTTTTGTCGACGACTGTAAACCTCATTCTATGAGGAATAACGCCTCTTGTCGGCAGAGTGCGTTGTTGCATCTACACTCTCCTTTGCGTCTACACTGTCATGTCGACAAAGTGGCTTGCTTTGTCGACAGAACAGGATGTAGCCTAGACTCTCTTTGTCAACAGAAGTTTTGTTGACAGGATCTGTCGACAAAAGTTCTGTCGACAAAAGCCTGTAGTCTAGACGTACCCTAACAGCTGGGAGGTGCACAGGTACTGGGGTGATGGACGCCGTGTAAGCTCAGTAGACAGTAAGCAGAATGCATTGGATAGTGCTTACTAGATGCTTGCTGTTGTGTTCTGAAATGCCAGCGAGGTTGACTTTTTTTTCTCCCCACCCCCAGTGTTACATCTATCTATATACGCAAATATTTCTGCATGTTTCTCAAGCCCCACTGCTTGAGAAGTTAAAAAATGGGACTGGAAAGAGCCCTGGAGGAATATACTACAAGCAATAATTGCACAGGCAGAAGACAAGATGGATCATTTCGAATCCTACAAATGGCGAGCTGGAAGGGACCTCAGAGTCTTCAAGTCCAGCCCCCTGTGTAGAGGCAGGCCCAAAAAACCCTAGACCGTCCCTGACAGCCTTTTGTTCAACCTGTTCTTAGTTACCTTCAGTGACGGGGATTCCACAACCTCCCTTGGAAGCTTCTTCCAGAGCGTAACATTGCTCAGAAAACTTTCTCCTACTATCCACCCTAAATCTCCTGTGTTGCAGATTAAGCTCATTATTGCTTGTCCTACATTCAGTGGACATGGAGAGCAATTGAGCTTCATAATGTATTGGAAGACTGTTATCGGAGTACCCCTTCAGTCATCTTTCCTCTAGACTAAACATGCCCAAGTTTGTAACCTTTTCTCATTGGTCAGGTTTTTAAACCTTTTATTGCAGGGGTGGGGAACCTAAGGCTTGGGGGACAGATGCACCCCCGACCCCAATCCCTACTGGCTTTCCTGGATCCGGCCCAGGCTCAGGGCTCTTCCCCCCAGCAATGGAAAGCCCCCGGCCCCTGCCATCTCTCCTGTGGGACTGGACCACAGAAAATCTACTAGCCTGGTGTGCAAGGGGAATGTGGGGAGCGTCTCTCTCCTCCTCAGTTGGGGGCCACCTCAGTGTTTTGTTGGTTTTGTGTGTGACCCCCCGACTGATTTGTCTGTCAGTCAGCAGCCCCCAATCCAAAAAAGTTCCCTACTCCTGACCTGTTGTTTTTGTTCTCCTCTGGACTCTCCACACCTTTCCTCAAGTGTGGTGCTCAGACCTGGATACAGTACGCCAACTGAGGCATCACCAGGGCCAGATAGAGTGAGCCAGTTCCCCCCCCGTGTCTTACATATGACACTCTGTTAATCCAGTAGATGTTCTCTTCCATCTCTCCCTTTTACAGTGTGTCTGAATTCACCCTCTTGTGCACAGCCAGCAGTTTCCTGTGGAAGGAGGAAGCTTGTGGCATTTTATAGTTCATTTATATTGTTAAGTAGGTGCTGCCATAATGCACGTAGTAACCCACGGTGAGATTCTGGCCCCACTTTGCTAGCACTGTATAAACCCGGAGCAAGAGATGTTATTGCCCCAAAAGTAGATAGGACAAAGAGTAACAGGGAAATAGAGGGATTTGCCCAGGGTCATTTGGCAGGTCAGTGGCAGAGTCATGAATAAACTTCTCTTCTGACTTCCTATCCAAGACCAGGACCAGGACCAGTTGCCTCCTTTCTGCTGCAGACAGTTGCTGGAGAAAACTGGTGAAGTCTTTGCAGTGTGCAGTCGCGCCAGAGTCTTGGGGGCAAAGCCCTGTGTGATTCAGAACAAGATGAAAACACACTGGAGCAGAGGCCAGATTAAAGAGCACTCCCTTTATCTCCTCTCTGGTATTGCTCTATTGAGCGCTTGGGACCGCAGCCAACGTGCTGTTTTTAGCCCTCTGTTTTCCTAGAATTGGCTATGTTGTCCGTGGATGTTGTTTGGTTTCGTGGGCAACAAGATGAGCTTTGCATACCACCTTGGATTCAAAATAAATGTCCTTGCTTGTGTTTATGACTTGAAGGAGCGGTGAAAGTGTCTAACCTCTTTGGCTGTAGCCCAAAAAAAATCCCACTCTTGCCTACATGACGTTTTCTATCTTCCTGACCTGTTATTTAACCTTTGATGGCCTCTTAAACCTTGTTTACATGAAGGTTTTAATCCAAGTCTCTCCAGGCAAGACTCAGGCCTTTTGGCCATAGAGCAGGGGTGGGGGGGGGGGGGC